TATTTAAACTTAAAAATAGGTAATAAAACTATGTCAAAATAACAGTAAGTTGAAAAACAAAAGATCAATCAACGTTTGACGTGCGTAACGTGAAAGTCGGGCTTTGGGTATTGAAACAGTGAGAGTAAACAAAAATTTGCATATGTAAAAACTCGAATAAAAAAGTTCAGTTCTTAACTGGCCATAAAAGATCAGATCTCAAACTTTTTCCCTATTGTTATAATATTGCTAGAGAGGAGAGGTTTCTAAAAGAAATGCAATGTTAGTTTTATGGCTGGGTCAAGAATCTTCCAGTGTTCAAATTTTCTTACAGGTGAACTTATTTTGTTTCTGTATATCATATTTCTGAATTGATTTTCAAGTCACATCTGCACAACAATTTCGAGTTCAAGCGGTAACTTGAACTGCTTCACTAACTCCTTAATGATACAGCGTAAATTTTTGTCTGAGCAAAACTACATCAGCCTTTGACACTGAAGATTTTTTCATTTATGAAAAAATTGTTGAAAGCAAAATGCGTAAAAATAATAATCAATAAGTATTTAAAATATCAAAGGCTGATTCTGAAGACTACTTACTATTCTCAATGTCTTTCAGCTTCTGGAAATTGGGCTAATGATGACAGTTGGCATTGGTTTAATAGCAATGTGCAAATTTCGCAGAGACGACACGAAAGATTTAAATAAAGCTTCGACTATTGTTTCTATGCCTGAAGTAAAAACGCTATCAACAAGTTTGACAAAAAATGAAAAATTTTACTGAAATATTTGCAATTCATATAATTAGATTTCTGAGATTGAAGCAGAAACTTTGTAGATTAGAAAGGAATTATCGTTTAAATAAGGAAATCTGACAGGTTCGTAGATTCAAATTAGATCCATCCGAGAAGGAAACGCAACAAGAAGTCGAAGTAGATCTGGATGAAATGTTAGATGGTGGTGGCGGAATAGCAGCTGACAATCCATCTGCAGAAAAACATATGGTAATCATTGCAGGCTCTTATTACAGCAAAACGATTCTTGAACAGCACTGATGATTTAATTACCCCCTAATCTATTACCTATTACTCAGTATGATATAATTCAATTTCAGTCTTGATTTAAATGTGTCGAATTCATATTTTCAAAGTTTACTTCAGACAGATAAAAATAAGTCGATTCTTATCCAATGCACTCACATCGATTCCTTGCTAAATTCTGGGTTTTTCTTACTCGATCTAGCGTAACACAAGCAATTTCAGGTTGCAGTTGACGCAAAAGCCGAAAAAAATCAACCAGAAGAGCAAATGAAGAAGTTGGATGATTTGCAAAAGAAACAGCAGAAGGGGAAAGTCAAAGATAATAAAGTATTAAAGTATTGTTACTTCTAAATTAAATTTATTGCGGTTGTTCAGTCATAAAGAACTAGCAGACTGCAAGGGAAACGATCGCATTAATTGTAATGCTCTCTTTCAATCTGACGAAAAATCAGTTCTTTTATAACAAAATTTTGCTGTAACTCTGATATTACTGCTCAAAAATGTAAAGTGTAATGGTCATTCGAGTCAAGATAGGTAATATTCTTATCATAATTGTGTTGGACAAACCAAGTAATGCTATAACTTTTCGATTTGCACCTAATATAATCATAATTTTCAGTGACTGCAGCAGTGATTTATTGTCGAGCAGAGAAAGCCGATAAGAAGCAGAAATCGAACACACACACACACACAGAGAGATGGTTTTTCGAAGGTATCGAATCTTTTGAAGGTATTAATGTTATATTCTGGGAAGACCAAAGAAAAGTGCAATTATTAATTAGTGGAATAGCGGAATGCATCTTTCTAAGTGTGTTTTCAAAATGCATTTCCGTGAGAAACAAGTGTGTAAACTATTCTCGCTCCATTTTACTCTGTTAACAATGAAGTTTGTTTGCCATTTCTGTGTTAGATATAATTTTTGAAACACATTAAATTTATTATTGGCTGTCCATAGGTCGGCCATATGTCAATGCTAAATGATCATTTATGAGTATTTGGCAAGAAAATTTTGTTTAAATTCAACACATTACACTTTTTTATTTAATTTGTAAATATCAAATTTGATCAGTCACAAGTTTATAAACAAGCAAACAGTAATGCAAAATACTATTAGCAGTGTAGCAGAATGCATACAGATAACACTTTGAGCAAAATGACTCATTTGCACAAAATTTTGTTAAAATATGATGTTTGCATAAGCACAGTTTTCTGCTGGAAACGATCACAATTTGATTTCTACTTCGATCAGTTAGTAAAATGACACTGCATTCAATGGGAATATGCTCTGTATTTTTCTCGCAGCATATATATTTCTAAAATAAAAAAATAGGAATCTGATGTATATCCCATTTTTCCATTTCAGATAGAATTTCAATATTCTAGACACTCTATATTCTAACTTAACGTCAATAAATTATCTTAAAAACGTAAAATGTGTGATTCGAAGCACTCAGAGCAAATTTGCTATTTTACTGAAATAATCATCAGCTGACATTCAGAGCATACACCTTTACTTGTTCACTATGTGATTACTTCTGATATAACCAAAAGGTTAATTAATAGCTGTACTTAACAATTCTAATTCAATAAACACTTATTAACTAATGCTTTTTCTGTTTTGCTAAGAATTAATTAGTGTGCTAATAGAGCAAAAGTTGCAAGATTGGATTATTACTGAATTTGTATTAATAACTTCATTAATAAAAGAAAAAGTATGTAAAATACTGCTCTTTCGTGTTAATTAGCACATTGGTCAATTAAAAACTATCCGCACGGTTGGTTAAGTTGAATTATTATTGCATGCAATCCATAAAAAACTCATTGCCAAAAGTTTTCGACCGCTTAGTGAATTTTTTTTGACTTTTAACTAAATTACTTCTGGATAAATCTAGAAAAAGCATGAAGTTTTGATACAGAAAAAATTCTACACAATGACATCATTAGGTCGGGCAGCTAATTTCGACTGCAACGAGTGGTCTTCCGATAGAAATCTTGAGAGTGACGTCTTTTTGATGCACAAGTGAGCAGGCGTACGCAAATACTGCTTGAAATTTATCTGAAAACGCAGTATATATATTGCAAATGTAGTACAGTATATTAGTGCCAATTCAATAAGTGAAAAAAAGAAAATTGTCACCTGCTCTTCCGCGATGTCAACATTCAAAGGAGGCAAAGAATATTTAGGATGAAGGTAGTCGCTTAGCGGCGATGGTTGATCATTACATTCTGAATAACTTCGCTCTCGCTTCTCTGGTAATTTGAAAATGCGATGCACATGTTCTATGGATACTCTAGCAGATGGAAATGTGGAACAATTAGGAGATTATTATTAATTAAAATTAATTGTTCAAAATTTTGAATCATTAACTTCTAGCAATTTTTGAAAATCTAAATTGACTATTTCAGTATTTTTCATTTAAATCAATTTCTCTTACTGCAATAAAGTAAAAATAGATCAGTTGGATGTGAATTAAAGAAGAGCAAACTCGCAAAACTAACGAGCTAGAAATGGTCGATTCGAAATCACCGTATTTGGTATTTCTCCGCGGTGATTTCACTGAACACAGAGGTATTTCTTTTCTTGGATGGACCATTGCTGGTATCAGAGTGCACCATCCCATAAAAAAGCCAATAAGCAAAAGTGTGTAGATGAAAAGTACAGAAATAGTGATTATTATAAGCAGCATACAAATGCAGATACTGTAGTGCTCATCTTTGCCATCCAAACCATACGAGCTTCACTTTATTACTTAAATATAATACAGTTGGGGACAGTTTCTTACAATGCATTCTTGTATTTTAATACTTCCTTAAATCATTTCCCAATCTAAATTAATTATCTTTGGTTAGCATAATTTTGATATCCTTTTGCTTCAATCCTTTGAAAAATCGATGTCTAAACACCTTAATTTTCGATTCACACTGAAATAGGTTCAATTTTTTATTTGTAGATCAAACGAAATGCTGAAAAAAGCAGACCCAAATTAAGCTTTTAAAAAAACTATTTTTCAAGCAAAGCGATAGAACAGTGATAAATAAATCAAAATAAAATTTTTCGAAAGACATTATTTATTATCATTATTCATGATTATTGTGATTATTATTATGATTATTAATTATCACTATATTGATTATTGTTGTGATTATTATTATTATTATCAGTGTGACTGTCACTATATTTATTGCTTTTTGGAGATTACTTATATTACTTAGCGCTTGTATAACAATAATTCTTTGCAAGCTCACGTGCAAATTTTCAAGACTATTATTTTAGCATGTTAGTCACATCTAACTTTTATCTCTGAAAAATGAGAGTAAGTAATTACTGGTCTAGCTGAAATAAGCTAAAACCGAGTCACTGATTTTAAGCGTTATTAATCATTAGTGATTAATAGCAAATTAATGAATATGTTAAAATGCTTTCATCTAGATTTCAATGCATATAGCACAAAATCGCGATTATTTTTCGTTAAATGAACAAATTAAAGTTATCCATTACATCACTGTTGGGGAATGAAAATTTTTACAGCAAAACTTGCATTTGAGCACAAAGTCTTGTTTATTCCCAAAAGAAAGTATTACTACAGGAAGGAAGGAAACTTTTAGCCAGCACTGCATGGAAATACAAAGCCTACCATTCCACACTTCAGTTTGTTTGAGTATATAGCATTTGAGTAAGTGTTGTCATAACATATTTACTATTTGCAAGAGGAAAAAATGCTGCAGATATATCAGCAACAAAATTTATTTCTATCCTGAATGATCCTTGCTCTTTTGACCTCAATTCTAATGGATTTTAAATAAAATGTCGCCATAAAAGTGTTGGACTTTTCAATGAAAATGAAAGCAATAAATCTCGGAGCAAAAAAGGAGTCAAGCAATAATTCCTCGTAATATCCTTCAGAGTAATAATTATGCAAATGTCATTGATTCACTTCCTCTTCTTATGAGGTAGTCATTTAAGGTGACAAATCCAGCTAACATTTTCGTTGCTAATATGAAACTTTTTAGTATATGTCAGTTCTTATTTCATAGTTGTGTAAACAATGTTAAATTAAACTGAAACACTTGCCAAATTCAAATCTGAAAACAAAACAAGTCTAGTCGCTGAAAAAATTAAGCATGTCATATAGTTAAAATGATAAAAATACTATGGATCTTATTTTTCGGAAGCAAAACACATAATAATTCAAGCACTGTAAACAGAAACAGTGTTGGACTACTCTAATAAAATTCTTGATATGCTTCGAGAGATTTTTATTTTCATTTTTGCATTTGACACCAGTACTTGGGATTTTTTTCAAGATATGAGTGAACGAATTTAAATTCTTGACCTCATCAAGATAAACTAAAAAAATGACCTCATCTATCGTTTTGAGAACATTTAATCAGACAAAATGTGCAATATTTTCACTCGATATATATCCCAGACCGCTTTTAAAACGGATACAAAAAACTTGATGGATCCGCAACTACTACTGCAATTGCAACTGAATAAGGAATCATTACTTTTTACTAAAGATCTTAATCTTATAATAACGCAAACAGCTTTCCTTCGCGCAATTAGGCCAAAATAAATTATTCAGCATATTTCATTTGCATATGCATTATTTACTAACCACTTTGCGTCGAAAACTCGCTTACAAAAAAAGAATTCATGAAAGTACTTCATTTTTCCTACACAATAAACTTATCAGTGAATAATTCACCAGTGAAAATCTCAGACAATTTCTCGGGCAATATTTGTTATTCAAACTGAGAGGAAGAAATTACGAATTACTAAGATGTTCTTCACTGAAAATGTAAAAAATCTGAGTACAGATATTTGACAAATACCTCTCCAAAGCATACTAACAAATGATTACAGAATCTGAGTCATAATTGAGCTTGTTCAACAGTCATGACCTGTATGTGAACTGCATCTTAATAAGCAAGTAATGTCAGTCAATGAATGTATAAACAGTTTTGGTCACAAAAACACAAAAATTATGCCAAAAGTCAATGCCACGAACATAATAAATTATAATTGTAAGCAAAATGTTCATGAACTCCTCAGTATCAAAAACAGTAGTATTTAGAGAACTCTTGTCAAGTAATAAACTTCATCTCAATTATTTCACAGCTTTGAAAATGCAGTCTTATCAGTTTGATCATGTCCAGCAATCATAACATTTGTTGTGTGCCAAGAGGTGCCAGTTGAAAGAAGACTGAGAATGATTGTTTTGAATGACTTCACTGTAAAAAAAGATCGAATGTATGCGAAGAAAAAAGGGGAAGTTCTTTTATTTTCCCACCAAATTAATTTAATCTTACGTTTGTCTAAAATTATCTAAACTTTCTTGTTTCAATAATATCACTTTAGTTGAAGAATTCGCCAATTTATATAACTAAGAAATTAAAAGTCTTCGCTCGCATATTGCAGTTTACAACTTTTCAAAAAAATGCACTACAAAATTTTTGTACAAAAATGATATGATAAAAATAGCCTTAATCAGCTGATTGTTTATTTCATTTCTGAAAAAAGCGCAGTAGAATCCAAATGCTAAGTGCTTTGTGTTCTTTTCGTAAAATTTGCCTCAACTTTCTGTCGTAAATATTTAACGATGAATTGGATAAGATTTCCTTAAAGACTTGATAGTACTCAAAATGATTATGTAAAGAAAATTCAAAAACTGTTCACTCTTAACTGACAATTGAATTTCCTGAAATTATCACCTCGGAAATTTTTTCTATTTCATATTAGTATTGATTCAAAAATCGCAGAAAAACGAGATGAGTTTACTTGTTTTCTTGGATTAACAAAAATTATTGTATTTCTTTCATTTAAAAAAAGTTAGTTAAAATTATTAACTGCTGCTTAGCAACTGTTAACTAACTATATTTGAAAGTACTAGATTTGAAACACATATTTTTTGTGACTGAAATATTCGCTTACTGAATTTTAAAACTATAGTATTTTCGGTTACATGCAACGTGATGATGGTGACGATGTTTTCTGAGAGTAATAATAAACCACTGCTTTCATAACATAATTACGTTTGATGACGTCGATAAAAATGATATTTGATCAAGATAAATTATCGTTATTTGCTTAGATATGTAACGTGATTAAAACAGTAACAAAGTTATAATATTCGATTACGGTAATAAATGATTAAAAGTTTGTTATTTTTAAACTAACTATTGTGTGGAATGCTTTTTGCTTTAACCAATCCATCCAAAACGTAGGCAAAACATTGTTTTCTTGCATTCAAAAGTTGAGACAAAATATTTTTAGACAAAACATTCGATTGTATTTGAATGCGTTTGGTGCATTTGCCAAGCGAGATTTACTTACTTTAATGTGAAAACTATTTATGAAAAAATAAAACAAATGGAAACTGAAGCAAAAAAACAACAAATCATTCTTTAAGACTAAAAAAACACCATAAGATGCTCAATTTTCTCAAATAATTGCTCATAATAACTTCTGGTTTTGTAATATTTTCGAAAAGTTTAAAGGATATTAAATATTGCTAAAAGTTATAGAGTTAGAGACATACCTAGTTAATATATCTTCAAGTAGCACCTGAGAAAAAAAATTGCTCAAAGTTCAGAAGAATTAACTTTCCTTTACTTCTTGACTAAGTCTTGCTTCTGATTCTTCCTCATTGTTAAGATTAATTTAACCCACAAATCAAACTTGAGATCAAAACTAAGTTAGACTAAAGTCTTACGTTTAGTAGATATTTGTCACCAAACTTAATTGAACATTGCGTGCTTTAAGCACTTATTTTGATAAACAAATGCTTTCAAAAATAACTTCACAAACAATACAGATTAACTTTTAATTTGTTTTCAATATTTTGCAATAAATTTTGCTAGCAGAAGTGAAAAAATGAATCAAAAAAGTCTGAACGCAGTAAGAATGATTTATGAGAGATTAGAATTATTGAACAAAAACTATTTTTACTGCAAACAATTAATGCTTTTTGTTTAAACTAAAATTACGGAAGCACTTAGTCGTGAACTTTCATACTTTGCACCTTTTTTTAATAATTACTTCGAGCTTTATCCATCTATCGTTTACTTGAAAGAGACTTCTGAACTCATAAATAAAAAGAAGCCTGCTATAGTTGGAAATGTTTGGGACGTTGTAAATAAAATTAAAAATTAGAGAGAATAGAAAGTTTTCGTTGTATTGCACATTTGCATATTTATCAAGTATTGCATTTTGATTAAGCCTTAAATTGCTGCCATCTCAATCAAAAACCTTTTCGTAGGCACCAAATTATTTCTGTGGAATAATTATCATGAAAACAATAGTTAATTATTGAAAACAAAACATACTAATTATAATAAATGAGGGAAAATTATAATACTGGAAGCTATTGAAAATAAGAGTAATAAGGCAGAACAATTGGGATCAAGTCAGGAGACTACGAAACTTTTGGCAAACTTGAGATATTAGTGTAATTCATTACACTAATAGAGTTATTTAAATTTGAATTGTTATCTACTTTATTTGAAACAAAAGAAATTTCAAAGATTGTTTAGAAACCCCAAAGTTTAATGCTTAGAATTAATAAAAAATACAGAGTAATCAAATTAACTCTTGACCTAAATCACTTCAAATAATAGTTCAACTCTGACCCTTTACTGTTATCAAAATCGATAAGACATTCTAGGTTCGATAAAAATCCCCAGCAAACGGAACAAGTATTAGTTATTACTAAAGTGTTTGAATAAAATTTCGCTGTGATAACAGCACTTTAAAAACAAAACAATTTCGCTCCATCAGCTGCATTCGCATGACAATTTGAATGTTTAGGGCTGAAAATGTAGAGGACAGAGTGATTAAACTAAACCTGCCACTATAATTAACACTTTTTGCATTACTCATCTATTTCAGCTATTCGGATATAGCTTTTTGCTAAGCATTCGGAGAACAGATTCACACACTCCCCAAGTCAATTTTAAATTTCACCATGTAGCAGTGCAAGTTTAATAGAAGTAATCATTCATTCTCTTCTCTGACCAAAACAAAAATAAGACTAAAAGCTAGCAGAGAAGTGAGCCATTGATCGTTATATCCCCTAATCCTTCACTGGAAGGAAATTAATCACAAAGTTACGGGAATACCTCGTTAAATACGTCAAATGAAAGCATATGGCGAGGTTCTGTAATCAAGCCAACATTACTTCTGCTAATTTTCTTAAAATTAAAAAGGTTATTACTTTGTTATGGCTGAAAAGGACAACACAAATTTTGTACTGACTACCATAATTAGAAACGTAATGAGCCTTCATGTAACCTATGTAAATTTGATAACTTCCCTCCCATAAACATAGAAATGAAAAGGTAGGATGGAAGCAAAAGTTCTGGCAACACACACACCGAGATCAGCAATACTTCAGGATAGCCTCCTGATCACTAGTATTCGCACAATCTCAGATTAAACAATGTTGCAGATATCATTTCCGAAGTGTGCATCAGAGTGTTATTCAGAAACTGTAGTTGACTGAGTTAATATTATGAAATAAGCAGTTTTGGAATCTCAATATATCTCTTAACAAACGAATTTGAAAAATTTTCGAGCTACAAATTCAACTGCTATTATTGTCAGATTGAAATGCGATTAAAACTTGGTCTTAGCAAGTAGGTGTCGCTGTAAGTAGCTAGCCAAGTGAAGCAATGAAAGATACATATTAAATATTGCCTCTTACTGATATAATTAATTTCAAGTTTTGAGATGCAAATAGTCGTATTTGAAATAAATTTATATCTTGTTGTAGCTATCGATATGTTCTAAACAAGATTCATTTTTAGTACATCATTAACTAATACGCACTTATGGCTAGTACATGACATTTCTTGAAGTTAGCTTTTTGCAAACATATGAATCATACTGTTTAGAGATACTAATGTCACTGAGATAACAATACATAACATAGAAATCAAAATATGTTAGACTTAATAATATCCAGAATTCATATAAGACAGAAGTACTGCTTGTAAACACATGGATATTATATTTTATCACTGAGTAGAGGCTAAATTTCTTTGTGCAGTAGGCTTTTAGATGGACAAACATATAAAAATATTAAAGCAGCTCTTAATATAAAATCCTAAAAATTTAGATTAAGTGAATAAGTAATCATCATCCTTCCATATCTTCGGCAATCTTCGAAAAAACTTCTACGCGTCCGACACATTCAGACTGGTTTTTTATTTTGTGACATTCTCAGAAACGTGGCAGTAGACTGAAGGCAAATGATTCGGCATGTTACTACTGTTAATAAAAGGGATAATTTTTATATCCAAACAGCGCTCATTAGCAGCTATTGCTCTTAGCTCATTTTCGAGGTATTTATCAAAATAATTCGTCGTGAAAGACTTTCTTCAGTTTTATGATGCATCGTGCAACCTTGCCAAAAAAAGCATGATAAAAGCATGAAATTTCGCTTCTATCTTATAGTCCGGGTAATCATTGCCTCCATTACAAACCTGAGATCTAACCGAACATATGTCAGGGTCAAAACAAAGGACATACAACTGCAGAAAAAAAAGTAGCCATCCTAGTGATTCAAGCATGAATGAAGTCCATACCCACACACTCCCGACAAATTAAAAATCTTGAAGCTGCTTCTAGAAAAATCTCCCAGATCCGGCTAAATGCTAATTTCGCACAGACCAGAACTTCGTAGTACACGCCTTCCTCGCATACAAGCAAAGCATCACTAACACCTGCATTTGGAATATGTGAAATCATGACATGTTTCCGAAGGCTCTAAAAAGATATATTATTTAGCCCACAATAGTTTATTCAAGCAAAAAATAAGACATGTTCAAACTACAAAACATGTTTTTCATACATCACAATTTTGGTTATTGCGGTACAACACAAAAAATGTTTTAGTTCAGTATTTACCAATCACAAAACATATCAAAATTGTGCCAAATAATCACACATCACACGAAGTTCAAGCCATAATAAACAGTTAAATCAACAAGAACAGCATACAAAATCTAGGGGCTTCAAAAATCATAATATCGAAATCAGTCGTCCACAAATTCAAAAAGCAGGGACGCCTAAGCCAAATGTCCTCATTATGTTATGTATATAGAAACGTCGCAGTCCTTTTTCAGTATCATCGAACTGCGCCACTGGAATATCAGTTCCCTCTACAGTCAGCATTGTGCAGTCTTGCTAAAAAAATGATTAACAAATACAAGTATATCATAGAGAATGCATTAGCAGAAATTGAAAGAAAATAGAAAATATTTACTGCTTTCTGAAAAGCAAAACCTAAATCCTGACTTTTTATCTTGAAACTAGATACTAATACTGCCATATTTGCTAGACGCTGTAGTGCTAGAGTCCTTTTCTTTCCTAATAACAGTAGACATTTGAAAGACACAGAGCAGGTTCCAAGTAAAGACAGCATTACAACAATAAATACATAAACAGCTTAATATGGACAGTAACTTGTACTGGTTATATATAGCCAAAAAAATAATCACATGTGCAAACCTTATCTTCTAATCTGAAGGTGATATTTGCGAAAAACCCAAATGGATACGATTTTAATCGCCACTTCATTACAAGTTCTTTGAAAGGAACCTAAAAAATATAGTATCTAGAAACTATGCATCAGTAATGATTTCTTAGTTCACTATTAAATCCAAATATCAATGAATTATTTAGGTACATTTCGCAATTACGTCAAATAAACTTACAATTTCAGTGAATAGGCCAGTTACTGTGCCACCAAATAATGTAAAAGACCCTTGAGGTTTGAGATCAAATACTGCATCACTATTCGACCACTTTTTTACCATCTGTAGAAATTAATACGTTATAGTAATCATAAGAAATAAGAAAATTAACCAGGGAAAAAAACCAAGGCCATACTTCGATTTTCGTAAGCAAGTCCCATAACTGATCTGGCTGTACTTTAAACGATTCCGAAAATGAGAGCACCTTAGTATCAATATTAGTTGCTGAAAAATAATTATTAGACCCTGATCAAAAGACAGAAATGACCATATATGTTAAGCAACGAAAACTACAAAAATCAGATTGCAGTATTTTCATATTAATGACAGTAAGATGAAATATTAAAAACACATTGAACGTACGTATAGCTTCCTCAGCATTTTGTTTGACACTGGTGACCTAAAATAAAAACTTCATACAAACATTCTTCAATTCATTTTATACATAAATGGTCTTCATGAGGTCCACTGTTTAATATTTCATACACAAATCATTCATCTGCAATTTATACACCAACTATCTGCGACATAATTAGTGTCGTCACTCATATCAATGACTTTGAAAATCAAAATTATTTTGAAAAAGTAAATTATTAGACTTTCTAAAAAAAACCGCACCACGTGATTCTGGAATGCTTTCTTATCAATGCTTTTCTGCCCTAAGGTTGTCTTTCCTTTGCAAACCACTTGTGGCTTTGGACGATCGGTTGGTAGTATCAAACCTTTGCTGAATTCCTCTTTCAGTTCTCGAATATAAACTGCTAACTGCTTTCGCAAAAATTCTGCTACTTCATTCTTTAAAAGATACCGAATATGGTCTTCATGAAGTCCACCGTTACTTAATATCGGAGTTATCTAAACAGAATTAAAATTTCGGACTAAAACCACAGAACAATCGATACAGTAATAATTGCCCAAGCTTATAAATAAAATTAGTGAAGAAAGCAACGAACATCTACTTCACCGGCTTCATTTTCATCACTTAAATTTGGTATTTCAACGGATCCTTTGTATTGAACATCCGAACCAGCAACTTTTGCTATAAAATGTATATTATTAAAGAAATGTCGCTGCTGATAAAGCGATGATCTAGAAATGCACGTTGCAACTAATTACAGAGAATAAAAATTATTCAAATTTGAAACCTAACAAACTATTCAGTAATGAAATAGTAACCTTCGAATGCTAGTTCAATGGCCCATTCAAAGAGAAAAATCAATTTAGCTTTTCGATTGTTTGCTGTGGCTTCTCCATCCAATTTCGTGAACTCCTTGAAGGTAATAACCGTTGAGTCTTTCTCGTACACTTGATTCTCTAGCAATTCTTTCAAGCGTTGTTTTGACCATGGGGTAGCATTTTTCTCCGTCCTACAACAACTCTGCTCCGTAACAATAAGACATCAATACAGGAAAGCAAACTGATCTTCGCGAAAACGAATAATCCGCGTACGACAATAATCTTCAACAGAAACCTCATCGAATCTTAAGGAACTTATGCTCTGGAACACTCTAAAGAGTGTAGCTACAAGGTGACTATGAGACTGATCAAAAATTACCAATGCCAATTGTTAACATTGACAGCATCCGGTCGTTCCTCTACAATCCATCGTGGATCACCCTTGCCCCACTTCGCCATTCAGGTGAAGAAATAAGATCAGTTAGTATCCTAAAACTACTACCGTTATACCACAGTAAAAGTACAAGCCCCATAGTCAAGTCCACACAATATGAATTACTGCAAATCAAAACACGTACACATATCTAAACATTCCAGAACTTCCTTGCCAGTATCATTATGAAAAGAAGCCATCCCACACAACTTACATGACTCACTACCACAAATCAAGTAAGACCGCCTCCGAACGTCTTATTTCACATGCAGAAAGTTCGGTACATTTTTATTTAAAGTTAGTACTCCAATATTAAACTTTGACTTATAACAATTTCTCCTTTAGTTCATCATCAATCTTTCTAGTTACAAAATTTGAAATGCGTATATTCAAACTATATTAAAACAACTGTCGATGTCACATTCAACACAAATACAAGTATAAGACCAAAGAAAATGTAAATATCAATATAGGATTCATAGAATTCAAAAGAGTGAACAGATAAATTTAGCGCGCACTAAATATCTGATTTGAACTTGTGCCACGTCGTATACGATGTACCTGTAATGATACTTTAGAACAAAGTGATATGAGTGTATATTTCCATCATCTTACTTTAACTAATTTAGAGTAATAAGAAACATCAGAGAGTTTTTTTGGTAGCATAATTTGATTCTAAACAGACTCATTATACAGAAGTGAGAGATCAGTTTTTTTCGTGTCCAAGGGTTTACCCATAGGCAGTGTGATACCACTCTCCGTTACAAAATATTCATTAGGATCAGGAATTATTTGTCCCAAGCCTGAAAATGACACTGAGAACAGGCAGTTAATAAAGTTTGAGTTGAGTGTCTCAGCCACTACAATAAAAAAGCTCAAGCTTTCATAATTTTACCTTTCACACTATGTTTCCCTTTTTTGAGCTTTTTAATCGGTTTTGCATCGACTTCTTCTTGTATTTCACCAAGTGCCACCTCACACAACAGAATTAATCCTTCTGTATTCATTGCATAACAATAGTTGGCTGACTTTGATATCATATCCGCAAAATATATGCCTTTGCCAAACATATAACCTGTCTAAAAATTGCAATTACAGGCACATACAAAAAGAAAATCGCATTCTTACTAAAGAGGAAGCCTTTGCTGTATTTTTGAATGAAAATATATTTGCGTTATAATAACAGATTCTATAAGAATTCCACCACTAACAATGACATTATTGTAAACAAATTTATCAGAAAGTTGAAGTGTGATACCACTGGTGCTTCTGGTGGTGCAATTCGTAATCCTTGGGACAAAATACCTGCATAATTTGTTATTCTTGAACCATGCCAGAGCAGATAATGATTGGAAATATCGATTTTGAACTTTTCCAGTTCACTTCTGCATTTCACTCGAATAATCTGCAAAGGCATCTCAAAATATCATGAAATAAATGAGCCATAATCACTTTCTACATCCGAAAAGCTAGCACGATAAAGAGCAGACAAATCCAGTTTTGAAGAACTATACTCCCTGTTTCATGAATTTGACTGTTGATGCATAATTCAATTGTTTTGAACAACTTGACAAAATATTCAAACATACATCAATAATTTCAAGTTTGTACTGGTCATGAGTAGGCGCATGTGTATTAACTGCATATTGCAATATTCGTTTGTACTCTTCAGATGCTTTATCCATTATCTAAATGAACATATAAATCATGCCTGAGTAATTAATAATTTCAATCTTTATAGATAACTTTCTCATACAACTCAAGAAATGAATTGCTAGGATAAGAACACTTGAGATGTAATAACTTCTAAGTCAGCATGCAACTTCTCGTAGTGTACATCTACAGGATCTCTTTTGATATCTGCTTTGTTGTCAGTGTTTAAGATGCTGTAAGTGATTTCGAGCTGTAAAAGATCATCGAGCAACTTCGTTTTATCCTGAAGTGATCGCTGAATGATTTACTGCACCACAAATGAAATACAACCAATAGTAAAACAATCTGACAGACTAGTTTTTCAAAAATAAATTAATAGATATTAAATTCTTCACAAGATAATACGCACAAAATTAATTTGAATTATTTCATTTGAGCATTCATTCTCTTTCACGAGGTTTAAGCAACTGGATCATAAACAAAATAAAAATCAAACGAACGATTAAAAGCTTTTGCGAATCAAGAAGAGGCGGTTTGCTTATTCCAAAATTGTGAGGGATCAAAGTGAAAAATCTATTAGTTGCATCCAAATAATCTTCAAATCTGGCATTACCAATTTCAATCAGCTAGAATTTAAATTAAAAAATACGAACATAAAAATCAAGTAACTTATGGAACAATTTCAGAACACATCTTGTAGAAGGTTGCTAAAAAATAATTAGATCTTAACTAAGTATTAAAATCATCAATGAAATATACTTACTCTCTGTAGTTCAGTTAGAACTTTATATGCACATTTTATTTGACGATCTGACAATTTTCCAAGGGGCATTTTAGTAGTATCTATCTGCAAGTACTATTTTTTTTTGGGGGGAAGAAAATACTGTAGATTATTTACAAAAGACATCAGGATCATTATTTAATGGAATTTTTTAGTAAAAACAAACTTAAAACCCTTAAGATCCTACCTCGAGACTTTCCAAGATGTTGTTCATTGTGTCCACATTGAACACCATCATAACAATTTGTTTAATTGTTTCTGGTAATTTCGATAATGATCCTGGTTTAACAGAAGACTCTTGCAAATCTTTAGGCTGCAATACATATAATTATTTGTAAAATACTTCGAAAGCAATCGAAATTTTTTGCAAAAAAACTTACGTGTTTGTAATCTGTTTCAATGAGCGACATCTTTCCAGGTACTTTCGTAAAATTTTCAACATCTTTCCAACTATTCCCAGTTTTTTCTTCAAACAATCTGCAATTTTTAAAATAATTAATTTAATAAAATTTGCGATGCAAGAGCAATACCTTTCGAAAAGTTGTTTTGCTTCATCCAAATTTCCACGAAATTTATCAGTTTTTGTGCCACCGATAACAGTACCAACTCGTCCCCAAGAACGAAACAAGTAGTATCTACAAGAAAAAAAAAAGAAAAAAAAAACAGATCATCAAAGAGTATAAAAATACCAATAAAAAATCACAACTGTAGATAGAAAGTCAATCGAACCTCTTTTTATTCGATACCTAAATTAATGCTACTTTTTTACTCAAAGTTTTTCACTTCATTTTTTGCAAATTACAAGCACGAAAATGTGATATATCTAAGCAATAACAGACCTCTGTTCAACATCATGTTTCAATAATTGCAATTTATAGAAAGAATTTGCTCCAATTTGAAAGTCCACTTTCCCCAGCGTTGTGTCCCAAAGTTTTCCTGATTTTAACGATAAAAAATATTTCAAATGATTAATTCGACTATAAAAAGATATCTTTCGCTAAAAAAATTACTAATAGAGCAAAAATTGTTTACTACTTACGGATTTTTATAAACACCATTGTAATCATCTGAGCAATAAGAGAATGATTAAAATAGAATATACTACAAGGGAATAAACTTTTAAGAACTATTATACATCACCTCATGGTGATTTTTAAAACCTTAAGATAAAAAAAAAATTAAGAAACCACAATTGTCTCTCCATACATGTACATCATCCAAATCACATTCAGGATCCACAACAGCTCCATTCTTTACAGTTTGCCGTTGTACTTTATGAGCAGTTTCTAAACACCAAAACTAATTGCAATCTACCAACGATATCAAGCAAAACAATTTGACAACTAAACCCTGATAAATTAATTTACCATTCAAAGCTGGTTTATCACCACTTATAAGGTCTTCATCAGCCTCCTTTAATTTCTGGTTCCACAATTTAAATAATTTAGGTCTGAAATTATTTTTCTGAAGGTTGAAAAAACGCAAGACACAACGTATTTCTAATGAAAGCGATTATATTTAAATAATCTTGAATTAAAAATTGATTTTGCAAGATGCGAAGCATACTTCACCACTTCTTCGTCTAAAGTGCTATATTCCCTTTCTTTCGGATCCTGAAAAAGTATACAAAAACTTCGTAAACCAATTATCCTTTACTTACTCAATTTATCTTGATGAGAAATTCTGTATTTATGCATTTTTAGCGCTGCTTACTCAGAGAAATACAAGAAAAAAGAATGCACTGTTGAGAACCAACACCTCAATTACTTGTGAATAGCAAAATAAAAAGTAAATACTGATTTAAAACCTTGACCTTCACTTCGAAATCCTTAAATTCTTCAAAATCTTTGAAATCATCAGGAACAATAAATGACTTCCGAGGTGGATTACGTGATTTGTACGTACAATGCGTATATTCAGAGACATAGCCAGTACAAACATAATTTCGCTGTGCTGCGCTGAAAACATATGGCATAAATAAATGCTGAATTCACATCAACACTCATTTTCAGTAATATTTTGAAATAGATCTTAAAAATCAATATATTCATTTGTATTACAAGAATGATTGTTCTCGAAGATATACTTGTAGGAAGAATTACAGAAACTTTTTTGGGAATAAAACCAGTGATAACCAATGATTATAATAGTCTCACGAAATGAGTTATTCTAAAAAATACAAGAGTATGGTTTTATCTTGTGTCGAGTAGCTCTGATACTATTTAAAAAGCAATTCATGAAACTAATGACAAAGATAAAACTTCAACCTGTAAGCAATAGTACCTCCTTTGCATTGTTCACAGGGAAGAGGACAACCAAAAACTATGCAGTCGACAAGACGATCTAATAACTGCAATATTATTTAACACAAAATTCAAAAGTAATCACGGGTTAGTTTTAAAAAAATAGTTTCAAAACCTAGAGCATAAGATAGCAAAAATTTTTGGAAGACCTTGGATTCTCCACCATATGCAGGTAGTGCTTGATTGTTTGCTCTTAACAGATCTTGCATATTGCTTTTACTAAGTCCTTTTGATAATTTCTGTCTTGCCAACCACATTTCATCTGCTTGTGCCTGTAAAAATTTTCGAGGTGGACACAAAATAATTAACTTCGTTTCGAAGTTAATTAATGCAAATAATTTTTTATGTTACCTGAAGACGCTTCCTTTCTTCTTTTATAGCAGACTCTTCCTTTTTTGTTTTTTTGATAGTAACTAAACTGGCAACACTTCTCTTCCTTTTTTTGTTCTTATTGGGTTCAAAATTGAATATCGATTTCAAAATTTTTTGGTCAGTTGTTAATAGATCATGATATCCAGTAATACTGAGAAAAAAGAAAACATTTTTTCAGAATAAAGCAACATGATTTACTATAATGAAATATGGAAATTGTGCAAAAACTGTAGTCCTATTATCATAAAAATACTATACATAAAACAACCATAATTATTACTAACTTTTCAGTAGTTATAGCATGCTGTGGTATTTGGTTAAAGCAATTGGTATGGTACCAAGCAGACTTCAGTCCAAGTCTAAGAGTATTCTACAAATATCGTCATTAAAATCCAAAATTTGAAATGCAAGTATGATAAAACGTCACTTAGAATTTAGTGAAAAGCAACAAATATGAGGTTTTTCAAAATATATCTATGCAACTAGAACTGAGTTAAAGCTAGAAAACTAGTCAAAGAACCTTTTCAATACTTTTTTTGCATATGACACATTTGCTGCGACATGTTATGGCATACTCAGCTACGAGTTTGAAAGTGTGGTTTTCGGCACATGAAACTCCATCTAAATAGCACGGAACATATGATTATTAAAGATTGATCCTCGATAAAATGTTGATAACTTCAATTTTACTAGATACTTTTTATACTTCATAGTTCGTGCATTTTTTTAGTGTTGCGAAATTACGATATTTAACGTCACTTCTCAACAATTTATGCAAGTAAGCAAAAAAAGCTTAAGGGAAAAATGTTCAATACGATTAGGAATTAAAATCACTAATCTATTTATCTATTTACTCCTTGATTTATTAAAGAAAAATGTTACTACTTCTATCTCTACAGAATATTAAATATTCATAGAAACCACGATTATCAGCAATTTTTTTACGAATCCATTCTTGATCTTTCCATTTCAGAAGTTCGATTCCCCGAATAGAAACCTCATTAATCTCATTTTGCTTGATCTTCTTCCAAAAACACCCGGAATGAAACCTAAAGATGTAAGAACGATGCAAAATCACTACATAACGCATACAACTTTAGATTTAATGCAGATCAAACTTATCAATTATCCTGAAGCCCATCAAAAAAACGACTAGGCGTCCTCAACGACATACGAAGTGAACCCTGCAAGAACATTCACAATTACATTCAAACTGAATGCGGAAAAGTCTGTAAGATCTTTTAAAATATTCCAATTACTAACTTTTCTATTTTAGAAGTTGAGTCAGTAGTATGATTCTCAAACTTTTAGTTGGTTAAAAAGAAAAAGCGTCACCAGATCTGATAAGACGAAGTCTTTCTAATAAAGAATCGCTTAAAAAATATGATTTATTGAAGGACGTAACTAAGATCTTAACAATTGTTAAACATTTTACTGGATAATAGTTAAAATTAAATATAATTCGGAATTCCTTATGAATTTATAAAAATATGGGCAATTATTAATATCTGTGAAAGCCAGTAAACAGTTACAAGAGTTCAGCCCTGACAATAACCTATCTCAATTATATCTTAACTACACTAATCTGACACTTTAATAAAGTAACACTTTTAGTGATCTAGGCTTAATATTTCAACTTATCAGCAATAAACATATAAAGTGGATTTTCATGTTTGAACTCTGAAGAAAATGCCTGGTATTGGAGATTTACCTGTGAAATTAGGCCATTACAGCCTTTGCAACCTGCACGACCGCTTTTGGCATACTCGACAGAATAAGGCAACTCTTTCTCTCCCATCGCCATTAAATCAAATGACAGCGAAACTTAGACTGCTCCTTCGAAACTCAAATGGCGGTTTAATTCTTCACAGTGCTCCTTACATCACTGTGAAATATCAATCACTATTTGCAGCTTCATATAACTACAATCACAAGATCTAAATTATGTCTTAATTTATATTTCAGCAGAAAACTAAATTCTGATTCTTTTCTTAATGGTAGGATATTATACTTGCAATCAGTCGAAGATTGAAGATAAAAAATTGTGTAATTTTTAGTAGAGTGTACAGTGCAGAAACGACGTATCATAGAAAAAGGTTTTAACTGTGACGAAGCAGCAAGGGGTGAGAACAAGAAAGTGGTCAGGTACTGAATGAGAACGAGGAAGGGGTCAGGTAGCTTCGTCACAGTGAGGAATACTGTGGAAGTCTTGTAATGGCTTTTAGTATTCTCAAAAATTTTTTTTAACTTTCATAATTGAAAAAAAAAACCACTCTCATATAAAGATTTCTGTTGGTCTTATATAAAGCGAAGTTAAAATAGCTACTAATTACCACTGATAACAGAAGCTAGCTTGTAGACAGTACGGCTGACTTCAAAAAGTGGCGCAGATTTACTCCGACTAGTCCTCGTGTTGTGGAAGGAACTTGCAAAGCACTATACGGTATACATGTCAGTTAATGAAAGTGAAAAAATTTTTATTTACTTCCGTTTTCGCAAGTCTCAAGAGGTCAAGTAGTGAAAATAAAAGTCAAGTAATGAATTGCAATTTCGGAGTGGGTCATTGTTTTTATGCGTGCGTGTCAACTGTAAGCCTGGAAAACATTTTATCTATTTCACATTATTTTCTCGTGATTGTGAACAGCACTTTTAATTCTGTGTGACAAATATAATTTAAAGATTGAATTCATAAGTTGGGCTTGAAAATCTGCAGAATATATCCGACATTTTCAATTTTTGCAGTGATATTATGCGTTATTATACATTTTAGAACTGAGGCAACTGAATAGCAATACTCAGCAGAATTATCGAAATTCGAAATTGAATATTCTAAAATGAAAATGAATTTTCAGTAATTGTTCATTTTCTTCTTTCGAAGCATTGAAATTGATGCAGAATTTTGGAGTGATGTGTCGTTTCTAATCCATTTGTGAAGTGAGTTAAGATTACACTTGCTCCAAACACCTCACATCAGTTATTCTTTAACGCGCCTCAGTTGTTTTCCTTCATTATCACTTGCTATTATGACCTGCAACATTCCATTACTATTTTTGCATAAATTTTGAACTATTTTGCAAATGGAAACAAAAATCAAAACATGGAAAATAAGAATTATTGGTCTAAAATTTTTCAAAGCTTAGGTCGTAATTTCAAAGCCGCAAGTAAATTTAACTTTTAATTCGTATAAAGTAAAATAAATTTGATAATATTATCATATATATATTTATTTATTTATTATCAGTTAATCTCCTTTTTTGATACAGCAGCAGAAATTGATTAGCATAATGGTGGCAAAATATAAGACTAACTGCCTTCCAAGATAAAATATGGTAATAGATTTTTTAATAATTTGTAATCAGAGAACACTGCCACTTTTGGACTTCAAAAATTTCTGAAACATACGTCTTGCTTCTCGACTGGTGCAATGCGTACAATTTTTCCATGTTCAGAACTGATTCCTTTGGTGCTTGGTTTCTTGATTATTCCAGGCTAATACAAATATAGATCAGATCAGATTACTTGTTGCAATTATTTTTTTGACAGTTATTTTAAATCTAATCTTGTATACTTGATATCTCTATATTTGATTGCTGCTACAATTGGCTTACTTTTTTACTTTCCATTGCTTCCATCATTCTCTGCTGTTGTCGAGCAGCGATTTCTCGTACATCAGTAGCCAGTGCAACAGATGGAGGTTGCATCATAGATGCACTTATCGCATCTTCTGCCCAACTTCTGGCTTTTAATGAAACGGGACGTTCGATGCACATACTAACGCAATTTTTCTTCTGTAAGTTAATTACTGAACCAGATTTTATTTTACGAGCTAAAAACTTGCTCACTGAACAAGCATAAGAGCTAGCATCGGTTTAAAATGGTTGAAATGTGACTGCTTCCATTTTCGATGCTATCTTTGAAGGACGATCTAAGTGCGAGCAAACAATGATTATGATCTGAACCTTAAGTGAACGAACAAGTAAAGTTCTTGCAATTTCTTTATCAGTCACTTTTATGCCATTAATATCAATGATATGATCTTTTTCCTGAAGTGATTGTGCCGCGAGCGAACCTGAAACAGTACCATTTTCAAAGAGCAGTAAACGACCCATACTTTTTAGATCTACTCCCTTCTGTTTGATTTTATAGCACTGTCTGACTTCTAACAGCTCAACATCTTACTGCTAGTTCTATTTTATCATCTTTGCTATTATCACTGATGTTAACAATGTTATTGGATTTGTCTACTGTCACCATCACTGTCACTACATTTGTTATTGATATTGACATAAAAATGACTTGCAAAATATTACTATGCAAAGAAATAAAAATTCCTTTGCTTGTTGTACGTAGGGCATTTTAGCAAAGACAAATACTTGATCAAATTTATTATTAATTATTAGTAACTGTTCACTGGCATCGAATTTCACGTTTTACTTTTTTAAACAGGCAGGAAGTGATTGCTTGCACTGCATGAAATATTAGTTTTACATTACACGAAATTGTTTGCAGCTAATTTAAAAAGCATGCAAAGAAGAATTCAGTAAAGCAAACAAATAAGAAGAAAATTTGCTTCTATTTACCTGGATCAATGCGTGACACGATCACGTTGTTCTGGAAATGCTTAATGCCAAGACCAAACTTGCAGCCTTTGACATAGTTAATTTGAATATAATGATATGTAAAGCCTTCACGACGTTTGAACAGGCATTCTAGTGGTTCTGGGATTTTGTCATTTGTTGTCTGAAATTACTGATTCATTGTTGTTTTTCTTGTTTAACATTATAATCAAATCAGTCAATCAAGTGTTTATCTTACTATTTTTCTGCTAAAATCCAATAAAGTATTGTGAAAGTCAGACATCAGTTCAGTTTCATATTAAATAACCAAACATTTTCTTATGTTAGAATCAGTGTACTTCAAGGCTTGGAATCTAAACTGGTCTTTTTTTCAAATTCTAACACTTTGCAGTCCACGATCATAAACGATTCGGATTGATGAACCAGCCATTTCGATCGCTTCTCTGGCATCATCAATTGTCTGAACAATGCGATCTCCAATCTTAACTCATTCACACATTAATTTCCACTCTGGTTAATTTTCTTGCAATTAATGATTA